GTTATTGGGACCTGGTACATCAACAGTGGCCACAAAAGCCTTGGCAGAATGCCATGCTGATATATCCAGGCTTTAAATTTCCCGGGGAGGCCTGCCCTGTCCACTGCTGCAAGCCAGGTTTCCAGCTCTGCGTGCATGGCCTGGATTGCTACTGTGTCTCTCAAAGTCACGTCAAAGAGCTTCCCCAAGCTCTTCACCGGCTTCTCCGTCAATGATGGTATTTGGAGACCGTTCATATGGAAGCGGAATTTGTCCTCAACTCTCCCCTTCCTCAACACAAGGGACCGGCATTTAGCTGGCTTAAATGTCATTCTCGCCCAAGATGTTAGCCTTTCCAGACCTTTAAGGAGCCAGCGACACCCTGGCACTGATGTTGCTGCGACTGTTAGGTCATCCAAAAAGGCTCTGATTGGCGGTTGGCGAGTACCAGATCTGGAGAGAGGCCCTCTGCATTCCACTTCTGCCGCCTTGACAAGCATGGTCATCGCTAGGGCAAACAGCGTCACTGATATAGTGCACCCAGTGATAATGCCTTTTTCTAGACGGTGCCATGCTGATTTTATAGATCCAGATGTGAATCTCATACTAAAACTACTGTAATAGTCCTTTATGAGATCTGTGATCTTCTGCGGAACATGGTGCATCGTCAAGGCTTTTGTCACCAGCTTGTGGGGAATTGATCCGTAGGCATTTGCCAGATCCAGCCAGATGACTGACAAATCTCCTCGGTTCTCTCTGGCCTCTCGGATCAACTGGGTGACCACTCCAGTGTGTTCAATGCAGCCTGGGAAGCCTGGAACTCCTCCCTTCTGCACGCTCGTGTCAATGTAGGAATTCCTCAGGAGGAAATCGGTCATGCGATTGGCGAGGATCTTGAAGAAGATCTTGCCCTCTACGCTAAGCAGTGAGATGGTACGAAACTGCGAGATGTCACTTGCGTTTTCCTCCTTTGGTATCCACACACCTTCGGCATGCCTCCACTGCTTGGCTACCCTGCCTCTTCGCCATACTACCCTGATGATTCTCCACAGCCTCTGTAGAAGTCTTGGGCAGTGCTTGTACACTTTGTATGGCACGCCACTCGGCCCTGGTGCTGCACTGGTCCGTGCTGCCCTGACCGTGTTCTTGACCTCTGCCAGCGTTGGCTCTTTGGTGTTGAACTGGCTGGATGGTAGTGGTGGTGAAATTAGTTCTCTGCAGGGGCCCAGGTCTTCCTCCCTCTGCCGGTCGCTGTATGTTTCAGAGAGATGGCGGTTGATGTCGTCTTCTGGGCACATGAGGGTCCCACTCCGCTTCTGCCCTAGCAGCTTCTTCGTAAACCCAAAAGGGTTAGCTATGAAGGCAGTGCGCTTGCGGGCCCTCTCTCTACCCTTCCTCCTGTGCCACTCAGCACGACGTAGGGAGATGAGCTTTTTCCTGAGGATGTCCCGGAGCTCAGCCAGGGCGGGCTTTTCTTCCCCACTCGCCTTCTTAAAACGTTGTTTCAGGGACTTCAAGTCTCTCCTGAGTGCAGAGATCTTGTTCTCTCGCCTGTTGGGTCTAGCTGTGTTCTTGGCCTTTGGCTGTTTAATACCAAACCGCTCAGCACCGATGCAGATGATGAAGGTGCACATCGTTTGGAGCTGCTGGTCCACATTCCCTTTCGATGATGCTTCCAAGGCACCATCTACATCTTCGTCGAACTGGCGCCACTCAGGCTCCTTGTGTGCTGCTGGCCACAAGACCCTGCGATGTTCGGATGGATTGTTGGGTGGAGCATGCTGAGCTTGGAGGTTCTGAACACTGTGGGTTGACTCCGGGTCCTGCTCCTCCTCCGTCTCACCAGGGGCCATGCTTTGCACTGCCTCTGTGCGTTGTTCAGCTTGCTCCCTCCTCATACAGC